CCCCCCCCACCCCCGCTGCCTGGCAGCAGTCAGTGAGTGCCAGGCTTTTTTTTTTTTTTTTAAAGAGCCGGGAGGCTGAGGCCAGGCAGGGCAGCCATTGATGGGGCTGGGAAAGCGGGCAGGGGATGGAGGCTGTCTGATCCAGAGATCTGGCCGATTCATCAGTGGCTGAATCGCCAAATCTATTCGAGACAGTGATTCGAATCACCGAATCGAATCACTGTCCCCCGAATCAGCCAAATCTGAATCCAAAGTGAATACTAGCCAGTTCACACAGGCCTAAGCTGTTCTGATAATACACTTAAAAAACTGAGGACCTTATTAGTACTAATGAAAAAGTGTGCTACTCCTAAATGAATTCATTACTGTGCAGTCATTATAATTAGATAGAAATGCTGTGTTGGACTTTGAAAATAATTGGCTTTCAGGGGAAAAAAGAATCTACATAGACTGGCTCTTCACTAAATATAGGCTTCAGCTATATAAAATTGGCAATTGTCTTAATTAGTGTTGATATATTTTCTTAGAAAAGGGCTGCAATTTTACTGAAGTTAAAGAAGGAAAATGTATCGCTTGCTCCTGATATGACAGCAGTGCTAGTGAAGCTGGGATTCTCCAGCAGCTTTTTGTAAGGAATTTTTAACTTGTCAAGGCAAAGCTTTTTGAGGGAGTTCTGCAGCACCTCGTTAGGATGCCACTTTTTATTTCTAAAGTCATGAGGCAGAATGATTCCTTTTGTTCTTCTGTAGTGTTCAGAACAACAGGGTCCTAATTTCTGACCTGGGGTTCTACTAATATGAAGCTAATTAACACAAATAAGATACTATGAAATAGATCTAGGAATTGCTCATGATCTATCAGAAAGGAAGGTCTCCAGTGGAAGTTCCCATCTGATAAGTTCAAAGAATCTGTGACGTATCCGTTTTTGATTCACAGTCAAGAGGACCTAATTCAAGCAAGGTACTGAGCACTGCCAGCTCTCAAGGACTTTTAAGGGAGCTGAAATAAATTATTGGGATTGGGCTACATATTTATTTTTGGACACTTTAGAAATAAAAATGGCTGTTCTGAACCATACATTGAGGTCTGCATAAACATGACAAGTGGCAATGGCTGTTGCCTGTCTCTGATCTTACTGGGATGCTGTCTACAACACACAACCAGAGTTTCTCAGATACCAACAGCTCTAACTGGACTCACCGATCTGAATGGACAACTTCCCCTGTCTTTGGGTCAATAACATGGACAATGATGCCTCGATGACCCCAGCTCCTTTCAAAGTAGTATCCACCTTCTTGCATGCCACCAGGGTGAAGGGTCTTGTTTAGGAAAGTCCAGGACAATTTTTTTTCACCATGGATCTCAAAAGTTCCACCTCCATTGACCCCAATAAACTTTTGCCCAAAGTAAGTGTCAGGCTGGGTGCCATCATCCGCTCTGTAAGGTTAAAAAACAAGGAATTAGAATATTTTAACATCCAGCCAGCAAGACACCGTTCACTTTTCACCTTGCTTTGATACTGCCCAGAAGAAGAAGAAATATCATGGCTTAATTTTTTTTTTTCAAGAGAGCCTAGGGGATGCAAAATGCTGACATTTTACAGCATTATTTGCCAGAAATAGCATTGACAAGAGAGCTAGTGAAGATTAGAGACAGTCCAGACTAGTGGTGTTCAACCTTCCAGCCCCATGTGTTGAATGAGTGTCATGACCAGATCCAGATCAGGGCTGGTGCACAACTGGTCCTCAGGTACAATCTGGTGCATTAGCTCAGCTCTGTGTGCTGGATTCAGCCACAGAGCGATGCAGTGTACTGGTCCAGTCCCACAAACTGGACTGGGGTGCAGAGCAACCCTGCCTGCTTGGCTCTGGAGTGACCATGTCATCCAACCCTCAGGGCTAGATGACAAAACTGAATTTGAGAACCAGTGATCCAGGCAATGCTCTTGGCTCATCATCAATTTATTCTCCCTTATTTTTTGTTCTTCCAGATTACTAGTGCCTTTTCACTTTGAAGACTGGACTACCCACTAGTCATACTAGCACAAGCTTACCTAGCACAGATGTAGTCACACTGATATAAATATGCTGCCGCAGATAGTTTACCCCAGGTAAGGAAGTGGCCTAAGTGCTGTAGTTGTATTCACATCCACACTAGTGCTTATACTGGTATAGCAGCACTGGTAAACAAGCCTTAGTGTAACAGGAAGTAAATATTAACTAACCAGAGATGCTAGAGCACTTTGCAGCTGTTAGGTTCTTTAGCTGACCTATGTTTACTCTTATGGAGAGAAGGAAAAACATTCAGACCAAGGCCACTGGGAGGAAAAAATAAGGGAAATATTGGATCTTTTTCCTTGGGGCTTTACATTTAAAAAAAAAGAGAGATAATCTATAAAATTGTTTGATCAAGATTTCTAGGTAGAAATCAGCTGGTGAAATTGGGGTATGTGGCATAAGCAGAGACACTGATTTCTGCACCAGAATTGAAGCACAGGGATGCTGTGATGGCTGTGGGGGCTGTCCTCCTTTCCTAGCCAGGGAAGGAGCTGTGGACAGAGTGCACAGGTCAGCATCACAGTTTTAACCCTTTCACAGCTGCTGCCAAATTGATAGCAGCTTTTGGCTGAGCAGCAGCTGTAAAAGGGTTAAAACTGAAACTTTTGTTGGAGCATTACTGGTCAGGATTCAGTCCCCTGACTCTCTAAAAATCTTTTTCCTCATTTTGCCTTTTCAGCACAAGCTGTGTGTCCTATTTGGGGGTATGCTGTATGAGAGAGAATATGGTATACGGCAGTTTTGTTACATGTGTAATTATCCTAAGGATCATCTTAAAGAAAACTGAAAAGCAGGTCCAAATGTGTGTTACTCTAAAAGTTATTCCATTACCTCAGTAGGCCACTGAGCCCTTACAAAGCAAAATGTCCTTGAGGGACCGGTCTGTAATGTGAATGAGAATCTAACTGCATTAACTTTGAGCCTTTATGTTGTAAAAAGGAATATGGAAGATAAAGGTGCAATGCTATATAAGGTACTGTATAGAATATGAATTGTTTAGGAACATACCGCCCATATAAGATGATGGTCACATTACTTTGGTATGGGCATATCTCACTTCCAATATGCATCTCTCCTTCATTTTCAATCAGTATATGTCGAGTACGCAAAACAATAGGCTCTACGTTGTCCTTAATGACCAGTTTTCCTATGGGGGGCAAAAATGGCACAAAGTTTGTTTAACAATGTAGCAAGTCACCAGAAACAATAGCTGCAGTGGGTGAAAAGCTTGGCTAAGCTCAGAGAAATGTAAAAAGTGCTCCCCAAAACAGCTGTAGGGCCAACGTTGCAATGCTTACTTGGATTTTACTCAGGCCAGCTCTCAGCAAAATCAATGGAATTTTGCACAGAGGAGCACAGGGTGCAAAGTGAATGAAGACTTTGGAGCGAATGGGTGCATCTACACATGCCCCTGTGCCACCATTGTTACTGTGTCGTAACATTTAGTACTTCCATTGTTACTGTGCCGTGCTGGTGGCGCACAGGTTTTAGCTGCTATGTTGCCGTAGTGATGCACTACAGCAACAGAGCGCATCGCTATGGTGACATAGCTGTGGCATCATGATTCATTGCTATGGTGATGTAGCATCTTGTGTAACAGAGAGCAGACACAGATCTATATGACTGAAAGCTGAAACCCTAGGATTACAATCATTTTATGACCTTACCTATGCAGTGAATTAATAGAAAAGTGTTTATGAAGCAAATTACAGCACCAAAGCTATTAGGCATTTTGATGCACTTTTGCAAAAATTCTCCAGTGAGGACAATAAACAAGTGGCTTGCAACTGCACAGAGCTGATATCATCTCTGTCACCACCCACCCTGGTGCAAACTTCAATCTGGCTTCATCCCATCCTTGATCTTACTCCGAAAGAAGCTGTATCTATGTCAGACATGGCAATTTAAGTATGCCTAAGGGGGAGTGCTCTTTGCTATCAGGTTGGTAGCTTGATTTACCTCCACTTGTGATGTGGATAGAGTGGACAGTTGCAGAAGAAGAGAGAAGGAACTTCTTGCCATTACTGATTTCAACACGATTATCTTCATTGTGTCCAGGGTTCCATGGTTCAAGGTCTGGATCCTGCTCAGGACATACTGCGGCTGATTCTGTTGATGCAGATGAAGGGAGATGACTATTATCCTTGCTTAGCTTAAGAAAGAAAGCTTCCATTCTCAGTAACTGATTTTTTAGGGAGTCTGCATTCTCTTAAGAGTAGAAGTACCTGAACTCTATTAGATGGGATTTGGGTCATGACAAAAAAGTGAACAATAAACTTTGAATATATGCTCTCCAATACTCAGGGAACACAAAAAAGTCCCGCTACCCTATGTCATGAATGATAGAGATTCACAGTTGCAGTTGTATCTAGACAGATGCAGAGAAAAGAGTAGGGTTTTGCCCTTAATGTAACATTTAGCTCTGACTATAAAAAGTTTAGATCTAAAAATTCTCAAGGGCTGTTGAAAGTGTCTAACCTAGAAAGTAAATTAATTGAAAAGGGTAAAATGAGAACCAACCTGAAATTAACTGATCTGAAAACATACTTGTGCTGTTTGCAAAATTTTGGCTAACTTAAAAAAATCTGAGTTTCTAAAAGGCTTGATTCTGCGGCAAGGTTGGGAAGTGATAGTAGTTGCACTACCCTAAAAAGGGTGATTTGCCTGAAACATCCATTCTGGCTAATACTAAGAAGAGCTAGAAATTGCCTGACAGAGAGAGGCTGACTTTATGAGGTCTTTTGGACAAAAAAAGATAAGAGTTCATACTCCTCAGATATGCACATCACTAGTCTCCACACACAAATTTGCTTTCAGATTGCAATGACATATTTGTCTAAACTCTGCTTACATTGCAAATCTGAAGGTAACTCATGTTTTAAATATTTATTTAAGATAACATAGTTCCCTGATATAACTTTACATAGGATGTTAACCTTACATTTACTGTAGTTTAAAGGGGAAAAATGTGCATGTGTGAATGCCTGAGAAGTGCCTGTGGATGTTATGCTGGTAAAAACACTTCCTTATTAAAAGAAGACTGAGGTTAACAGGGGACTGAACAACAACATTTTTGCTATCGGTGGGAGTTGCAACTTGAAAGCCTATCTAGTTCAAGTTTTCCCCCTTCCCCTCCCCAGAGAGCGATCCACAATCTATAATATCAGGACAACAGAGATGGGATGAAGTTCTGACTTTGTGGACCTCAGTGGGATTAGGATATTAATTTTTGTCACAGGTATAAATAAAGCCCAACTGATGGAGAGCACAGCCAGCATAGCTCTATTTTAAGACTGATAGCCACATACTGCATTCTTTGTCGCTGGAAGGATAATTGAAATTCTGCAACATTATAAATGGAATCTGATCATCTGCATTTGGTTTGCTGTTAAATTCCACAACCAGCTCCATATCTTAAAAAACAATAGAGTTGGAGCCAGTACCTTGATGTCTACTGAGACTCATAAGTGCCAACTATCCAAGGTAAACATGTGACATTTCATGTGTGCAACATCTGTCTTGGCTCTCCAGGAATTCTTTCCATATCAGTTAAGTGATTAAGTCAAAGAAGGCTAATAACCTATAGGGCAGCACCCTGCACACTGAAAAATAGCCAGGGCCCAGTCATTTATGCCAGTGGTGAACAAGGCACACTCCACTGATGTCAGCGTCAATCATGATTTGTACCAGTTGAAGAAATTAGAAAGAGATTCCTGGTGTCTGTTGGGAGATATATGGAATCAGTAAGAGTAGCCTAAAAAAGATTAGTATTTCAGACAGTAAACTGGACTTACAATGTGAACAGAGGCCTGAAACCAGCATGATCTGAATGGACCACAAATGAAAAATGGGGAAACTAACATTGAATTCAAATGTAAAGCTGCCATTTTTGGACCAATCTCAATTGCACTCATTAAAGGGTGCTCACTATTGCTTTTAGCAGTGTCCATGATATGGTAGCTGCTTTCCAAAGATTCAGGAAGAGTTGGCCCCTGCCCTGAGAAATTCATGGTATACAGGTAGACCAACAAGTAAACAGTGTGGGGGAAGGGAACAACAAAGGGAATTTACTCTTACAATTTGGATTTGAGTTAATAAAAGCCAGGAATGTTCAGAATTAAAAGCTCCTTGTATGGACAGGTCACAGCAGAAGCAATGGAGAAACTCTCTACAATCTGATCTTATTCTGCATTCCCCAGTCTGACATCTACTGCGAAACATAAAGCACTGACACTGATAACACCAAAGAGTTAAATCTCTCTCTTGTGCTCATATATGACCACAGATGACATTTTAATCTTAATGATGCATCTCTGTATTTTTGCACTCAGATACCAGTCCGCACCCAGAGTAGGGACTAGTTTGGAGTTCCATATCTTGACCAAAAAAGTCCTGACCACAGCAATGAAAGTTTACCTCAAGCTGTTGCTTACGTGCAGCCTTTGAGGTTAAATATCTTCTGTTTTTGCAGTTTATAGAATATAAAGAAACCACTGTGAGGAGAGGTGCAGCTTATATGAAATATGTAGAGTGTGACAATAATACATAAAAAGCTTTTCCTTTTATCACCGTGAACAACAGACAGAAAGGTACAGATGCAGCCTATTGGGCCACATGGGTTTTTGGCCTTAACGTAATTGCTTAGATAATGCTAAAATTCTCATAAAACATATCTTAGAACCAGAACTACTGAGCTATTTTATAACATTAGGGTTTTTTTGCATTCTAGGAACTCCTTAGCACTTTCCTCTTTTGCCTTTAATGAAACTGCTCTGGACTAGGCTAGCAGGGGAATTAGGAAAATGAATCATCTCATGAGCGCTCTCACACTGCTCCTGGTCCTTGTTGTAAAAGCTCCCTGAAGAAACATTAGATTAATGAATAAAAAGGCACTTGACCTACATCTGCACTATCTGTATTTACAAGAGATATTATATCCCTCCATTTCCCTTCTGCTCTCTGGAAATCTTACCTATAGGTAGAGAAGAGATGACAAGCAGAAGAGAACTAAAGCTGATGGCTGGGTGCATCCTGGGAACTGATGCTGTTTTTCACTGCTTTTAAATGTGTGGGCACCTATAAATAAAAAAATGCCAAGACAAGATTAGACGTGCTTTCTTAAATGAGGCATATTTCAAGCAAAAACTATGTTACCCCAGGAAAAGATTATATTCATTTTGTGACTAAGCACGTTTTCATTCCTTTTATGACTAATCCTGCTTTCAAAAATCTTCTGAAGTCCTTGGAGTAGGAGGAGATACCCTTTGCCTCTTGGTTATGATTTGTATAAACAACCAGGAATGCAAATATATACACAGAAGGGAATCACCACATGTAATAGGAAGCTTCTTAGGCATGCAGTATAAACACATACAGTGGCAAGACACTCAATGTGTACATATTGATGCATGTCAGATAGTAAGTGACAATAGCACTGTGGACCAAGTTTTCAGAGTGGCCACAGTGTGAACTCTCTAAATTGCAGCTTCACAAAGCACCCCCTAAGCCGCACATGCACTTTTAACAATGGTGTCCCGGCAGTGCCATAGCAAGGAGGGGTGAGTGGAGCAATCATCCCAGGCGCCAAAGTGAAGGGGCTCCAACAGGCACTGCCCAGCCGAGGCAGGGCATGGGACAGAGCCGTGACCAGCTTCTTTGTGGGGGATGTGGGGACAGGGAAGGACAGCTCCCATTGCTGCGCGCTCCTGAGCAAACATGGCGGGGGGGGCACGTGCCCCCAATCCATGCGTGGGATGAAGGTGGGCTGCTGCTGTCAGCCTTGCCCCAGGCGCCAAACCTTGTGGCTAAGTCCCTGTGTCCCAGGCATCCCAAAATTCTAGTTTGTGCTTACACTTGCATTTTTGACTGAGCAACTGCTGAGATTTTTGGTACAAGAAAACTGTCCTTTCAGACAACGAGGTCTAGCACCAGGCTGTACAGTTATGGAAGCAAGCCTAAATGCTGGTTTGGAAGATCTGTCCCTCCTCTCTGCTCCCGGGAAAGGTCCGGTTTCAATGTCATGAAACTCAGACTTTAGTGTAGGATTGGAGCACAGTCCTTAGTTCAATCCACTCTGGCTAGCATTGCTGTAATGATAACCTGTATTCTAAAAGGACTGATTATGTAATGCTGCCTCATGCTGGCAACAACTTTCTGACATGAATATTCATGTTGAGGTCAAGGGAACTACTTGCATAAATATTCACAAATATTTATTTGTAAAGCAATATATATATAAAGCAAAAAAAGTTATGCTCATCATCTGATACAGTCTAAGGAGCCATTACATTTAAACTGTGAACATCTGTATTTGAGGACATTTGAAAAAATGTATGTTATGTGACATATCCTGGTTATAATATAAATGCAGAGTCACATTTGATTAGATAAGTTCTTGGTTTCATTATTGGTGGTGTTCTCTTTATGCTGACTAATATAAATTTATTTTCTATCTACATATATTTCTGTTTAAAGCCAGCAGCAGTTGCACAGTCACTTCAAATATTTTTATAACATTGTTAAAATTCAAAGAACATTACGCCAAAATGAAATAAACCTCCCTATGCAGACCCAAGGCACCCATTCATATTACAAAGTGACAGTGTGTAAAATGTCTGTTTATAAATCCACACCCATTTGAGTTGTACAAGGGAAAGCAAGAAAAGACAACTCTGGTGAGCCCTCATTTCTTAAAATAAGAAAACATCAATTATTTTTCTTGTTACCTTGTAACTTTTTTAAAAAGATAAACGAGAAGCTAGGATTTTGTCCAGAGCAAATTTTATACAGGAAATATGGACAGGATATATCTGTACTGTGCATGTACATGATACAGATCTACCCATAAATATACACCTTAGCCTTATTATCATGTAAATTCAGTACTTTGTATTAAAAACAACATTAAAATTAGATTTGTCCGGAAGCAATTCACTGGGAAATAAGCTCATTTCCACCATGATGATGCATAGTAACACTGGCATTGCTGATTTCAACCTTATTTTCAGTGCTGACAGCTTTCTTTCTGTACGTGACACTACAGACAGCCTACCAAGGCATACTCTAGGTGATATTCTAGGTGTTGAAATGATGCTGCAGAAGAATACATTAAGTAACTATAGATCTTTGAATGATGTATGTTTTAGGTGAATAGTAATAGCGCCATAGGAATGTGATCAGAGCAAATCCATATGTGAGCATGGACAGTTCATGGATTTACACTGGTATAATTGATATTGTTTTTATACCAATATCAATTACACTGTGATTCTGAATGGAAAGAAATGCCAGTGACAGCGGCAAAAGAATAGGTAAGTGTCTGCATACCTTGAACAAGGATTAACCTGGAACAAGCTGCTGACAGATGACATTGGATTCTTTTTTTTTTTACACTGATATTAGTTTACTAGTTTGTTTTTGTTTTTTTAAGAGGTGTAAATGTTCTTTGTCTAGGCCTTGTACCTGTTGTTTTATTGAGGTATCAATAGTGAATGTTTGATACACCAGGAATGATAGATTGTTATTGTATGGTACCAGGAGAACAGCAGTCTCTATTAAAATATCACCATCTGCCAACAGTTACTGCATACTGTGTTTTGAAACATAGTTATTTCCTTTCCTAAGTAGACGCAAAAACTACCTTATCGGTAACAGCACTGTGCAGGAATTGTAGGTAAAAGCAGGCTTTATAAAGATGACACCATTGTACATCAGCTTTTTTTGAAAGCACAGGCTTTCCAAAAACTTGCAATCAGTCAGAATTTCCTTCATAATGCATTAGTCAAATAGTAAATTCACAGAAGTAAAAGGAAAAAAAGTACACTTGACAGTGGTAACATGCATTTTTATCTCATTATTTGGCAGAACTTTTCAAGATTGAATAAAAGTTGCCAGATCCTGCTTAAGCAAGGGGTAGAGGTTACTTACCATTAGACTGTGCAAGAACTATAGCTCATGGTGTATGGTCAGGGTGAATTTTCCCCTAAATGCATCTTTCTATGGATAGTGGAGATTAGGTCTGTGTGAAGTGGCTAGTATTCATTTCAGATTTTGCCGATTCAGGGGACAGTGATTCAATTCAGTGATTTAAATCACTGTCCTGAATCGATTCAGCTGAGTTTGATTAGGAGATTCGGCTGCTGCCGAATCAACTGAATCTGAATCACACAGGCCCCAATCCCGGCCCACTCTCCCAGCTCCACCTGCCCTAGCTCCTAGCTCTTTGAAAAAAAAAGAGAAAAAAGCCCCCGCTGCCACCCACTGCCCCATGCCATGTGGCTGCCCTGCCCGCCCAGCTCCCGGACCTTTAAAAAAAAACAAAAAACTCTCGACTCACCAGTTGTTGCCCAGTGGGAGGCAATCCCTGCTGCTTCCCACTACCCCGTGCTGCATGGGGGACTCTGCATGAGCCCCCCAGAAGCCCCAAGGCTGCTGCAGGAGCTGATGAGTCTGGGGGTTTTTTTTTGGGGGGGGTGGGTCTTAAAGGGCTGGGAGCTGGGGTGGGCAGAGCAGCTATAGGGGTGGGACTGGGGAAGCAGCCAGGGGATGGGGCCTGGCAGGGGTCCCCCCATGGTCTCCTCCCCCTCCTCTAGCCCCACACCTCCCCTGCCCCCAGCTTACTAGCACAAAGTCTGCGTCCAGCTCCATGCAGCAGCAAGCAGGAACTGCCTGAATCTCCAAAGCTCTCTGAATCTTTCCGAATCAATTTGGAGAGCTTTGAATCGATTCAGACCTTTTAACCGGTCCCCTGATTCGATTCAGATTCAGAGATTCGGCCACTGAATTGGGCCGAATCTCCTCCAAATCAAATCAGCACCCAGAGCTTTGCACAGCCCTAGTAGAGATCAAAACTCCATGAAGAATACAACATTGAAAATGGAAATCATTCGGGAAGGTGACAGTTTTGTGGTGTCCACAATCGTTTTTTGTCATATTTCAACCGCTACGGTGCAAACAAACTCTTTCCTATCCTTCAGCTGAATGAGGTAGTTAATTCAGTTCTCAGTAGGCAACAATTCACTCTGCAAAAACTGTCATTTAACTGGCAGCCTTACTGAAGAGGCCAAATGCTCTTACTATTAACATTGACCCCCAAGGGTGCCTGTAGACATGCAGGGACACTGCTCTGACACACTGTAATCACAGCACATTGGAGCAGTCTCAACTAACTGAGCCTGCTGGAGCGTGGTAATTAGTGCACTCCAGCAGCCTCCGTGTCTCATGTATCAGCATCCCTGAGTTTCAAAATGATGGCGGGAGCATTTTGACTAAAGCATGTCAAATGAGCTTTAGTTAAAGCACCCGTGCTGCCACTTCGAAGTGCAGGGATGCTGATACATGAGATGCTGTGGGTCCTTTAATTAGAGCACTCTAATTAAAGCACCTCCCACCCCCCCCACCCCTGAAGCATGTGTAAAGACACTTCTACAGACCAGGTCTGTTACCCTGGCAGAACAACAGGAGGAAAAGACTGTTCTGGGGCTTCTGTCTCCAAGGGTCTTCACTCAACACCTTTCACAAGTGCTGAATCTCAACGCTAAACATTTTTGTCTTTCTTTAAATAAAAGGGGGAATTTACTTTCCATTAATGTTGCCTGCTAGCGAGAATTTAGGAACGGTGCCTGCTGCCAGCTGGTCATTTTTGTTAGCTTAGACCATAGTCATTTGGGAATAAAACAAGTACTCTAAATCTTAGTTGAATTCTCTACTGGGTGAGAAAAAACTTTTTCATTTAGCCATTTTGAGCTGCTTGGTAACTGTAAGTAGGATTCATATCCCTGAATCTGGCAAGATGCACTTTTGAAAATGATTCCCAGCTGTTGGATCCTTTTGAAGAGTGAATATGAGCAGACAGTGCTAAAAGTAGATACAGGAAGCCATTAGTCAGTGCTTAGCTGGCTGCTACTGCAGGTGTCAATAGTCATAATGTATTAGAAAGCATACTATATAAAAAAGGAGACCTGATCTCTTCAATTTCTTGAAGAATAATGCTAAAATAGGCATAGAACAGATGGCACCTGGGGGAGGGGGGGAATATAAACAAACATTTAGAGAAAGCTTTGAGATTTAAGAAGTTTCCCAATGAAATCATGAACGTGGGCCCCCTTTAAAGTCCCTTTGTCAGCAGAGTGGAGCTGGAATGGCTTTTCTCCTCATAGGTTCACCTCGAGGCTGTGGATGTAACAGGAAGGATGGATGAGGTCTGCAAAAACACTGCCAGTCATTTCAAGTTACAAAATGTCTCTGCTGCTATGAATTGGCCAACAGTGTAGCAAGCGACATACTCCTTTGAAAGAGAAGCTCACGCTCTCAATGCTACTTGAAAAGTGGAAAATGGGTTGCAATATCATCTATTTAAACAATGCAGCTGCCTTTCCAGGCTCTCCTCCCAACATATAGGGATTAGAAACTCTGGATGGGGATTGAGACAATCAGGTTTCAATTCCTGACTCCACAACGTATTTTCTGCACAACCCAAGGGAAGACCTTCAGGCTCAAATCCACAAAGGCATTTATTGCAATGGGAGTGAGAGACTCATCTTTATGGATTTGAACCTTAGGCTGTCTGTGCTTTAGATCCTCAACTGCAGAATGGGGACAATGACACCAGTTGGTCTTACGGGATGCAGAGGGGGTGGGGGGAGGGGGGAAGA